TTCTCCCGTCATACCGTTGACAAGGGCATATAGCTGTGCGCTATCGTCTACGGTGCGCCTTGCAAATCTCATACGGCATCGCTGTCTCCTCTATTGAGGTTTTACGATTCATCGAGACCATTCGGGACTCGCACTCGGAGTCGTCCAGTGTCCATACTCCCTGCTCCATCGGAGCCTTGATGTTATTAACAACATCCAATGAAGAGCTGCCATTTCGCAGTCTTCGTCCAGTGGATAATGTGCTACTCCACCCGTATCTAAAGAACCTTGCTCAACATGCGTCGGACCTCGTTCGACCATGCCACTCGTGGCATGCAGCAACTGCTTCGAAAAGTGAGCAGTGCTCAGTGATTACGTGCCACACCACGTGCATCACTGGGGCCTCGTGTTCACTGCCTCGGCCCTTGTCCGACAGTGCCACTCCTGGCATGCAGCAATTGCTTTGATACTTGAGCAGTGCTCAGTGGATTACGTGCCACTCCACATTCAGCCCGCGAGCCACGCTCGGGACTCCTGTCCAATGCACCATCGGTGTCTACCAACTCGGACATCCCAATGTCTAGCACGTTGACCATCTCGGTGTAGTGCTCTCACCACTAGCGCTTTTGTCTTCTAGCAGAGGTGGGTTCATGTCTCGCCAAAGCTCCACCAGGAGACATGCACGTAGCGCCCAAGGTTCTTCGACCTCCAATCAACTCATGGCTCATGGTGCTCCAACCATGCCATACAAAGGATAAGGTCATACCTTGCATCCAAGTCTTAGACTAAGAAGCTTTCCACGCTATCGAAGTCAAGAAACTTGACAGCGAGGTCCACTGGGACTCTCGGCACAGTGACTGTATCGGCGGCGAGAACACTTGCAAAAGCTGCAGCTTCAGCTTCATCCAGGAGGGAAACGCCACCCCAACCGAAGCACCGCACGTTTGTGTCCACTCTCGCGCTCGGCCCCCGAGCTGGGAGATATTTAGCGCCACCCGCTGTTGCTCGTTCTGGAGCATGGCGAATGGTATTTCCATCTCGGCCTCTCTTACCCAGAGCAGATTATTTTCTCCATCCTTACCCTCGGAGGTTGTAGCGCCCACCATGAGCGGCATAGGTCAGTATTAGTTATCCGTCGTCGACGGTGACGTCATGGACGCAGTCGACACTGCAGTTTCTGCTGAAGGTTCGCAACAGATCACTTTTATTATATGAACACACCTGTCGGCGCGCGTTTATCGCTACGGACCCTAGCAAAACAAGGTGTTCCATGCCCTCAGGGCCCAGCAGGGACATCAGCTTATTCAGCCCATACTGCATGCCCTGGGGCAAATAGGAGCATTGCTCCATCCTCACAGACGACTCAGACGTAAATTGACTACGAGTGCTAGTAAGTGCGGAGCGCTCTTTGCTCAGAGAAGCTAAGCTGAGGTCACCGACCTTATGTTTTTCAAGAACCAGTACGAGTGCAGCGGATCGCAATCCGCTACCTCCAAAGTACTTAAAAACCTGAATCAATGCAAAGACGCTCTTCCGTTCAAATTGAAACAGTAATTGTTGTATTTGCGGCAGAGCCGCCTATATCTAAAGCCTTACGTGCTCCTGATTAAAATAGTAATACCTAATTAATATGCGAAACTACCGGCAGCCCTGCCACGTAGTGGGTTCTTGTTACGGTATAGCCACATCATTGTGAGATTGCACCAACTTGTGTATTCCACACCTATTTACGGTCACACCATCTTGTGTGACCCGCCCTTTCATACCAGGGTACGTGTAACCCCGTTACAACAAGTGCTACCAAGTGCAGCGGGGCTGCCGTAGCACTTTTGCTTATAGGAAGCTTATTTAAGATCGGTGACCCTCTTTCTGTACTTAGAACCAGTACCAGAGTAGCGGATCGCAATCCACTTACTCCAAGAGTAATTAGGCTAATTGACTCTTAAAACGTAAAATGTATTTCTCGGTTTTATTTGCGGCAAAGCCGCCTATATCTAGTTTATTAGTCTTCCTATATAATATATATATATAGTTAAACCTAACTAAAAGTATAACTACTGACAGCTAAGCCACATACTGACTTCTTGTTTAAGTGTAGCCACTCCAATGTGTAGTCACACCATCTTGTGTAGCCTACAACCTTCCTACCAGGGCTCATGAAACCCCATTACACGCTCCCCCCATCAAGATTCTAAACACTTACAGTTCACATCCAAGTGTCGCCTCGAGCGAGGCTCGCGTGTCCAAGACACCAGGACCTTCTTCGCGATTTCTCTGCTCAATGAGCCCTGGGTCGAGGAGACGGAAGACACTAGGCCTCTCTGATCCCGAAAATGCCCGCTGGCAGAACCCTTCTTCATTTTCTGCACGCGGTACAACTTTGGACAGTACATCCTAGGCTTTAAGTAAAGCGTAGCTTAAGCTCTCGGTAACCGAGGACCGCGCAGCGCATTGTCCGCGACAGGGTCGCTTGACCAAGAACACAGACACGATGTTTGCTTCAGACCGCACACCGCACCCGCCACCGGCGATGGATTACGAGTCGAAACGGATCCTCCTTTTCTAAAATGGGAACAAGAATTGAGCAAGGTGCCCCAGCGGCGCGGCATGAGCCCTGCTCGAGCCTTGAGGGCGCCGTGTCCTCTCTTCGATCTCTCGACATTGAGGGAAGTGGTGTCATTACTAATCACCTCGACGAGATACAGGAGCAGCAGCTGGATGCTGTCTACAGGGCGCTTCTCATGCGCGCGTATCCACGGTCGGTCTCTGACCCTCGTGTGAAACACGGCTTTTGCTCGGCGGATCCCGCTATTGAAGGGAACACGCGAGCACTTGATCGTTGGGCGTCTACGTGATCAGGCCCCGGCCACTACACAAGCTGAGCTTGACCAACTAAAAGTCTCCGAGCTCGCTTTTTGGTTCCTCAAGAAACCCAGGTGGATACGTACCAAACTCGGCAGCTCAGGGCCATAGCTTGAGCTCAGCTTATGGCCCTTACGTTGAACGCTTTGTAAAATTGGTTTAAAACTGCAAACATCGGTATCGTTATTTGCACAATTTGCATGTGTAGAGGGATACTGTTGTCATGTCCAGCTTGGTATCAAGCCCATTGATCATTTTTTGCCAGGATGCCGCTGCTAAGCAATGATTTTGAGCCGAAGTAATAATCAATGGCGAGCTGTGGTGGAAGAAGAATTTGCCGAGTAACAGCAATATTGCTGAAGCTGTGATATGATCCATCTTGCTCATCCGACGTATGGCATTGAACACTTAATGCGATGCATGCGTTCCGCTTTGGCTTTGCGACTCACTGCCACTCCCTTAATCCCCTCTGTTTATACAGTGATCCGAAGACAGACAGAAGTCCAAGCAGGAACAGCCCTGCTGCTTGAATAGGAGAATCCTCGACGCATTTTCGGTAACGAAATCGTTTCATTGCTTGTCGCCAAGCTATCCCCTATTTACCATCAGTCGCACATATTGGAACCTATCAAGCCAGTTTTTTAAATTATCAGGACAAGGTTTAAGTTGTAGTTTATGTCAAGGCTCGGGTGCCAAGCTCAATGTGAGTAAGTGTGTGTTGATGTCGCTTAACC